CTGCGTTCCAAAATTCACTGCCAGTACTGAAAATCTATAGTTCATGTCACGTATACTATAGAATTTCAGTACTGGCAATGAATTTCGGAACGTAGCCTTTGTAAGCACCTAAAATCAAATTCGAATTATCGTAACCATCAACTACTACTCTCTAGTAATTAGTAATAAGATATTAATATATAGTTACAGCTACTAGAGGACGAGGCCGTGGAAGAGCACGAGCACGATGATACCAGCAAAGAGGAAAAATATGGAGACCATTTGGAAGTTTTTGGAGAGGTGGTGGCGGTAGAGGCGGTAGAGGAGATAGAGGAGGCATAAAAGGTAGGGGGGATAGAGACAGAAGAGGAAAGAAATTCCCTAAAATATTAATTTATAATTTATCGCTCTGTATATCGCTCTGTATTGTTCGCTACTGCTTGCTGCTGCTTGCTAGAACGTCGCTATAACAATTTGCTTTTACGCGCCATTCATACTTCAATTGGTGTATATCTCCATTTCGTATTGACATCACCTGTTTAGTTCGGCCACATCCTTAGTACAGGGCATCAATCATGAATCTTTTCACGTGAGTTTAATTTTACTATCGATTATATAACTTTTTTCCTTAGCATGAAATTGTGAAAAGTGAGCAATTTCTAAATATTTGTAATAATTATTATAAACTTATTTTATTTAATACACATCTGTATTTATAATGCATAATATATTGTTGTAATCTTTTCTTTGTATATTTTATGTAAAATTCTTTATCATAATTTCAATTTTAAAAAAGTATGCAACATGCAAAGTAAAATTCACTGAAACAGTTGTCCACATTGTTTTGAATTGTGGAATACGCATACGTAATATTACAATTTACATATTTGTGCAAGATGATAATATTATACTATTTTTCACGTTTTAGCCATCAACCGTGTAGGTAAAACGTGAAAAGTAAGTGTGCGTATTTGTAGTATTTATATGGTAAAATAAAATAATCTAGTGATTTCTTTGTTGGGTGTTAGGCCATGGATGCTTCCGAAATATCCAGAGTTGGATCGAGTTGAGTTAGTTTTACTATAGTATATGTATCAACTCAACCCAGCGCATTTGCATAGAGCATAATTACATTAAAGTGAGAAAATAATAGATTATAAATATTCTCATGTTTGCTTATAATATTTCTTCATGTTATATATTATTTTTTTAGAATGAATGTAACACACAAACAAAAAATAAAATAATAAAATAATAAAATTAATTACAATAATATAATAATAATTATTATTACCTATATAATTTCTGAAATTGTTTTTCTAGGATATCAAAAGGATCTTGAGTATCTCTTAAAATTTTACGCATAATACGTAAATTCTCGTTTCTTTCGTTTTGTTCCTCATTAACTATCCATCATGCAGCAACCATCGTAATTGATTAACTTATTATGAATATGGATATTACTTTTTAGGGAAAATATCAATTCGCATGAAAGTTTTTATTTTTTCACTTTTTCGCATTAAAATTTTCACTTTTTCACGAATTTATCCTAGGTGAAAAGATACATGATCGACCTCCAGATGACACTGAAAACTGCATTCAATTTTGGCTGCGTTCCGAAATGCACTGCCAGTACTGAAAATCTATAGTTCATGTTACGTATATTACGTATGTTATGTATATTATAGAATTTCAGTACTGGCAGTGAATTTCGGAACGCAGCCTTTTACAACAGTGGAAATTCAGTGAAACATCGGCGTGCTTATCATTTTTGCTGATATCATAAGTACATAGATTACACGATGAACTTTAAACATGTTCGTTAATTTTGCTTTATCATGGTCATTTTTATATTTGTAGAGGGACGAGTCGTTGCAGCCAGAGTCATTGCAACCAGAATCTTTGCAGTTACTTGCCATATTTGATATCGTGCTTAAGCGAGAAACATTTTAAACATGTCAAACCAATTACGTTATGATGGCCGAGTAGTTGTAGTGACAGGAGCTGGTGCAGGTAAATATGTTTGCAATATTTTGAGAGATTTATTAATTAATTGACAACAAATCTGTTATTAATATTACATATTGAAAGTTTAACTAGAACTTTGCCATGTATATATAATATGTGTATATAATATTTTAGGTCTGGGACGAGCTTATGCATTGTTGTTTGCATCCAGAGGTGCTAGTGTAGTAGTAAATGATTTAGGAGGTAATAGACATGGTGATGGTGGAAACACCAAAAGTGCAGATATTGTAGTCCAAGAAATTCGGCGAAATGGTTAGTGACTTTAATTTGATAAATTAATCATATCATTTCTTTTATGTAAATCTCCGGAAAATATTATATTTGTGCAAGATAAAAAACATTTTAATATCTCTTGTAATATATATTAATTATTCATAACATTGTATACTCGCTACACATATATTTTTATAAATAAGATATAAATTACTTGGTAACAGACAATGTGTGTGTATGTTAAGTGAGGAAGTAACAAGATAATAATTCTCTAGGAGGAAAAGCTGTTGCAAATTATGATTCAGTATTGGATGGCGCAAAAATTATTGAGACAGCAATCAAGACATTTGGTCGTATTGATGTAGTTGTTAACAATGCTGGTATTTTGAGAGATGTATCGTTTGGGAAGATGTCGGATAAAGATTGGGGTATGTATATTTAAATTAACACACATGCATTACATACACAGATATGATAAAAATAAAAGTATTAAAGAAAGTAAAAAAGAGATAAACCTATTTATACTATGTTCTATTTATTATGGAAAACAGTAAAAGTGGAGTTTAGAGAACCTATCTTTGATGGTCTTTATGTTGACATATGTTATAGAACTCAGCAGTCATTCAGTAGTGTGTCCTTGATAATATCAAGGACAAGACATCGTAAGTGGGTTCCCTAAACTCCACTTTTATCTGATCTTCAAATAATAAATAAATTATAATAATTAATAAATTATAATAATAAAAATAATAATAAATTAATTATAATAATTATAATAATTAAAATAATTATATAAGTTTTATGATACAATGCACAATGATAACAGTCTATTATTAATATTTTTTAACATTGATATATAGGTTATTTAAATAGATGAAATTTGTCTTTGATGTTTGCTTATTTAAGTAAATATATGTATAAGTAAAAAAGTTTAAAATATTACAAGCAGAATATGATTTTACTAAATATGAGCTATTACGTAATATTTTTTTAAACTATTAGTTTCATGTTTTATTAGTTTTTATTTTATGTTACATAAGTAACACTGTACATGTGTACTATATATCCAAGTATGCAAATCTTAATTACTACAATTTTGGTCAACTTTAATTACATACTATTGAAAAATTATTGCAAATTCGATATTAGAATTTTATATTACGAATCGTGTTTCCAGATTATTTAAGAGATTTAGCTTTAAGAAAACATCAGGGTGTGATTGTCAAATCACATTTACATTATACATTTGGTTATCATATTTGGTATTACACATTATATATTTGATTACTTATTATGATGGATTATCTTCTGTTTATATTATGATTTGTAAGATACTCTATATTAATTTACACATGTATTAATATTGGTATGTTTGTTTTAGATATAATATATGATGTTCATCTAAAAGGTTCTGTAAAAACAACAAAAGCGGCATGGCCATATTTTCTTAAGCAAAAATATGGTCGTGTAATCTTAACTTCAAGCAACAGTGGTTTATACGGGAATTTTGGACAATCCAATTATAGTACGGCGAAAATGGGTCTTGTAGGATTTGCTAATACATTATCCATTGAAGGAGCAAAAAAGAATATTTACACTAATGTAATAGTGCCTACAGCCGGCTCACGTTTAACGGAAGATATCATGCCACCGGGTAAGTCTTTAATCTATTTTATCGTTTATTTTTAACTATTGTCAACGTTTTATGAGATTTTATATGAATGTCCTAAATTTTTGTTTTTAATCGCCTATAACGTTCAGACGAAATTTACTCATTTTGACAAAGTGATCAACATTTTATAGTTTGATCTCTCTTTTTAGAACGTTTATATACCTTTTTTTTTGCTAATGTAAAATTTGGTAATACAAAATTTTTTTACATTTTATTTTATACTCGATTCAAATCAATATTTTATTGAACTGAAGAATGAAATGGAGAACTATTTAATATCTTACAGATTTTTTTAATGAATTAAAGCCTGAATTGATAGCACCTGTTGTCTTTTGGTTGTGTCACGAGAAATGTGCAGAAAATGGTTCAATAATTGAATCAGCATTAGGCTGGGCTGGCAAATGTAAGTATAAAATATTGAAGAAAATGAAAATTTAATATAATATAAAATATAATATAAAATACGATTTCGCGCCGCACATGTGTTTGTGTTCATTCTGTGTGAGAAGAATTAAGTTATATGAATATGAAGCACGTTAAGAGTTATGCAAAATTATCATTTTAATTTTTTAATGCTTAGAAAGAAAAAATTCATAATTTGTTTTTATTATAAACATTTTATGATTATTTTGTGTATATTACATCTGTGTAATTAAACAATTATACAGGATGTCCAGAATAACTATACAGAGAGATTCTTGATGCTAAAAGAAGCAACTTTACCGTTTAGCGATTTTGATAATATAAAAAAATAAATTTAAATTTATCATTTTAATTTATCATTTAAATTTATAGGTCATTTAATTCGCTCTTCGGGTTGTGTCTTGCGGCAAAATCTATCGTCTGACGTTTCACCGGAAGTAGTGCAAGAAAATTGGTCGAAGATAACTGACATGTCATCAGCAAAACGATTCAACTCAATTCAAGTAAGTTATTCTCTTGTGTGTCTTTGTTGAGATTCTATTGGTGTGTTTAAAAAGTAAGGTGACTTTATATTTTTATGAAAAAATATTTATTTATTTATCAATATTCATGTTATCCCCTTCAAAGTAATCCTCCTCAGATATAATACACTTGTGCCAACGCTTTTTCCAATCCTCGAAGCACTTCTGATAAGCACTTTTTGGTATAGCCTTGAGCTCTTCCAGCGATGCAGTCTTTATCTCCTCAATCGTTACAAATCTCCTTTCATAGGTCTCTTCAGTTTTGGGAATAGGAAAAAGTCGCAGGGGGCTAAATCCGGTGAATATGGTGGCTGAGACGTGATTGTGGTGTTGTTTTTGGCCAAAAAATCTCTCACAAGCAACGATGAGTGAGCAGGTGCATTATCGTGATGCAAAAGCCATGAATTGTTTTTCCACAATTCCGGACGTTTTTTTCGTATTGCTTCTCGCAAACGGTGCATAACTTCAAGGTAATACTCCTTATTGACCGTACGACCTTGTGGTAAGAACTCCTGATGCACTACGTCACGGTAATCGAAGAAAACAGTGAGCAAAACCTTGACATTTGATCGAACTTGGCGTGCTTTTTTCGGTCTTGGCTCTCCTGGGCTCTTCCATTGGGACGATTGGACTTTGGTTTCGACGTCATAACCATATACCCATGATTCGTCACCAGTTATGACCCTTTTGAGCAAATCAGGATCATCATTGACGTCATTCAACAATTCCTGAGCGATGCTCATGCGACGGTTCTTCTGGTCAAAATTAAGCAGTTTCGGAACAAACTTCGTTGACACACGTCTCATGTCCAAAACATCCGAAAAAATTGCATGGCACGAGCCAACCGATATGCCAATATCCTCAGCAACTTCTCTAATAGTGATTCGACGATTTTCCAAAACAATTTTCTTCACTGCTTCAACGTTTTCATCTGTTGTTGACGTGCTGGGACGTCCAGAGCGAGGTTCGTCATTGGCATCTTCTCAGCCATCTTGGAAGAGCTTGTACCACTTATAAACATTTTTTTTACTCAGAGCAGACTCACCGTATGCCACTATCAACATTTCAAGTGTTTTGGAGCACTTAATTCCATTTTTTACATAAAATTTGATGCAAATTCTTTGATCCATTTTTTTTGATAGCAGAAAATCGCCGAGCACACCAAACATGTCTAACCTTTGTATCTGTCAAAAACAAACTAAATATGCTATATAGTTGAAACTGTAAACATATGTTTGGGACATGTATACCAACACAACAAAACAAAAAAATCGAAAATCGAATGTACGTTGCCCGCGAAATTTGAAAAGTCACCTTACTTTTTGAACACACACACACACACACACATATATAACAACATATTAATAATTTATCTTATCTTTGGTATTGTAGTAAGATATTAACTTATCGTTAATCATCTTTTTTTCGTTATTTTATTCATTTTTATTTTGCAACTTTTGATTAGGCAGTATCAGGAGAATTATATGGCGTCATTGAAACCCTGAAAAAAGACGTTCCTTCTGGAGATAAAGTATGTGACATTTTGTAATTTTTTGCTTGATTATAAAGTTTTTTTTATTCTTATCATTTTTGTCTTCCACAGTATAATCATGTCATAAGGAACAACTATAACTATCGCGATATTATATTATACGCACTCGGAGGTAAGCCATACTAGTAGATTGAATTAAAAGTCAATTTATTCTGTTAACGTTAATCGTTCAATATTCATTTTTATAAAAGTAGATACTATTTATCTATTTGAGAAATATTTTTAATCATATATGAGTCAGTAGACATTGAGTGTATTGATCTCATTAAATTTTTTATTTTAGTCGGAGCTACTGTTCAACAGCCAAGTGATATGCGTTACTTGTATGAAAATTCCGACGAATTCGCTGTATTACCTACTTTTTACGTTTTATACGGACCTTTAGGATGCATGGGCTCTTCTATGCTGCAAGAAGCTTTACCAAATTCAGAAGTTGATGCGACAAAAGTATGATTTGTTTTAAATTTTGTGTTGTACTCCTATCATTTTGATGCTTCATGTATTTTCTTTGGATATTGTATTACAAGTCTGATAATATTTGTAGATATTACATGGAGAGCAGTATTTAGAAGTCTATAAGCAATTACCTACAGAAGCTACAGTGGAAACACGCTTGAAGGTGCAAGATGTCATGGATAAGGGAACAGGCGCAGTTGTTTTGGTCCAACGTATGCCAATCTTGCAATTTATATAAGATGATTTATTAATAATCTTTAATATTTATATATTTATAAAATATACAACATTAAAGAAACTTTCAGAAAGCGATTTTCAGCATCATGATAATGATAATGACTTCTACATTAAAAATATTATGTGTAATCTTTTGCATTTTGCTAGATGACACCTATAATACAACAAACGGAGAAAAATTATCAACTGGACAGATATCTATATTTGTCGTCGGTGCAGGTGGTTTTCAAGGGAAACGAACTTCACCTCATATCATTCCACTCATTAATCCACCTACTCGAAAACCGGATATGTCAGTCACACAACAGACAAATATTGACCAAGTAAGAAAGGCTCAATATCTCGATTTGGTTATTGTAAAAATATAATTAATCGAATATATTTAAAAGTTATCATAATCAATATTTTGTTATATTATAGAATAAGAGAGAGGATTTATTTGAATTAAGTTAATTTAAATTAATTTAACTTGTTTCAATTAAGTTCTAGAATTTATTATTAAAATGTTGTCTGATAGTTTTCGGACAAAAATTTATGATTATTCTGGCATTAATTTTATAGGCTGCTCTATACAGATTGAGTGGAGACCTCAACCCTTTGCATATTGATAATAATATTGCTGCAATGGCAGGATACGAGAGACCAATATTACACGGGTTGTGTTCTCTAGGATTCTCGGCCCGACATGTTCTTCAAGCGTATGCTGGTGGAGATCCGAATTTATTTAAATCTATTAAGGTACGATTATCGTTAGAGAAAAAGAAAGAAAGTCTGTAAGATTTCACGATAAGTTTTCTACTTCGAGGTACATTAGGCAGGTGCTTAATAGACTTAATAAACTCTATTTTTAAAGCTGGTTCTAGATGACATAGTATATATATATATTGATGAGTACATTGATTACCAGAGTGGACTAATGGTGACAATATACGATGTTTAGTCATTCTATATTGTTAATTATTCTGCATTGTCACTGAGTATGACTTTATATATAATTTTTATATATGTTTAAAGAACTTGCACAATTATATAATAACTATATATAGATAAATATACTTGTCAGTTTTTATTGTTGAAAAGAACTGAAGTATCTTGATATAATGAAACATTGTGGACTTTCATTCTCTTGTTATATGTATGTACCCCACCACAAGATGTTCAACTATGACTTGCATATAACAAAGCTGATAAAGCACATATAATAACTGATAAAGTAATCAGTATGAATTGACATTTTGTCGTGGATATACGCGTTAATCGAGAAGTATTTATTTGATTTTGAGTAAGTAATAATTGCTAATTGTATACCGGAGATATTCAAAATATTCCCGATATGTACGTTTCGACTTGTACTGAGAAAAAATGTATAGTGATTATTTGTAATTATATATCTGAAACGCAATATTTTGATAACTGCATTAAGATTATTTGCAGATACAGAAATTCTTCTCGTGGTTTTAGTGTGGAATATTTCTAAAATTCATTACTTTGTAAAAGAGTGCAATTTAAATTTGTTTTAGTAGAAATTATATTTAACTCTATATTTACTTTATATTCTATTTATTCTATATATTAACTCTATATTTATTAGTTAAATTTATTAAACGTTATTTTTTTTTAATTATTAGCTTGTTCTAGAAAGATATTATTTTGGAGTATAACAGAACGATTTTCTATTTTATTTTCTATATATTGTGATATATTTGTATGTATGGCGTGAGAAATCGTAATCAATACATATGTTATATTAATGTAATATTACTATTTTATTCTAGGTGAGGTTTGCAAAGCCTGTAATACCAGGTCAAACGTTGCGTACTGATATGTGGCGTGACAATAACAGAATACATTTCCAAACATCTGTCGTTGAAACCGGTGTACCAGTCGTAACAGGTAAGTTTATAAAAAACAAGATTATACTCTATAAAAAAATGTACTGAATTTATATATATAAAAAAAACATTTTATCAGTAATATATTATGATTATATATATTTGACTGTCCTATTATATATTGTTCAGGATATTCAACAAAAAACAATTTTAGCTAATAAGGACAAGTATGGATAAATATTTTACTATCTTATTGCGTATATAGGTTTATTTTCACACAAAAAAGTAAAAAGGAATTATATTTCAAAGTTGTGCAAATTAAGAATAAAATATCTCTGCAATTCTTTTATAGCCATGCTTCTTGATATTAAAATATGTAACAAAATATAAATTGTGTATTTTATTTACGTATTTTTATTTATTAATAATTGCATTTATATTTAGAGCATATTTTTTTAGAAAAAATGTTTTGCATATGTCATTTAATGTATGTATGTGTCCTGATAAGTGTAAAAGATTTAAAAAAGAAATAGACTTAAAAAATTGCAATTTTAACTCTGTTGTGTTAAAAAAATTTTATTTTAGGCGCTTATATTGACCTGCAGGACGTTAAAATGGCAGTACCACTTACGAATCCGACTTCCTTGAAAGAAAATATACAGAGTGATGCTATATTTGCAGCTATAAATGAACAGGTGAAATTAAAACCAGATTTAGCTAAGAAGGTTAATGCAGTCTTTCTTTACATTATAACCATTGATGGAAAACCAGTAGCTGAATGGAGTAAGTAATTTTAGAAATTATTCATGATATACCTTCTGTATAAAAAGTACCGGGAATCGTTAAAAAAAACACAGAATATTTTATTTATTCATCAAAATTTATTTTGTCGCCTTCAAAGTAATCCCCATCGTTTGCAATGCACATGTGAAAACGGCGAAACCAATCTTCCATGCACTTCTGGTAGGCCGATTCTGGTATGGCCTTCAGGACCCGCTGCGAATTCCTTTTGATGTCATCAATCGATGAAAAACGAGTACCACGGAGTGGCAATTTCAGTTTCGGGAAAAGAAAGAAGTCGCACGGTGCCAAATCAGGCGAATACGGTGGATGGTCGACAGAATTGACCGAGTTTTTGGCCTTGTAATCGGCCACAATCGTGGCTCTGTGCGCTGGCGCATTGTCATCGTGTAAAATCCACGAATTGTCTCGCCACAATTCGGGCCTTTTTCGCCGGATATCAGTGCGTCGGCACACGAAATTTCGTTTGCAACACAAAATTTGAGGCACACTCTTTGTTCGACTATTTTTTCCATGGTAAAATTCGCAGAGCAACACTGAGGTAGACTTGTTTGGACAGCTGCCATAAACAAACTAGTTGACTGATCGAGCTCAAGCTCCGGTTGGTAATGAAGGAAGGTAGTGCCAATCTAAAAAAAAAAACTTTTTACCGCTACCTCTTCCGCGGTTCATTTAAATGACAATTTCCCGGTACTTTTTATTTATGAATTAGCAATATATATATATATATATATATATATATATATATATATATATACATACATACACAAACACATACATATATACACAGTACTGTATGTTGGAAAATTTAAGAATATAAAACAAAAAAATGAAAAAAAAAACAAATTTTTAAATTCAAAGAAGCAAGTATTGGTTAAATTATATGTACATTTTGTACATGCAAGGACTGAATTTTAACAATAGCTAAAATAGTATTTTGCTATGAATTTATTACATTTAAATCATATTTAGTGATAAGAATGTGTGTGAGTCGATGTTGTAAACCAATGAGTTAATCTTATTAATTAATTAATCTCTTATAATCTATATATCTTATTTATAGCTCTTGATTTGAAGAATGCTAAAATATATAAAGGAAAACCTGACACAGGGAAAGCAGATGTGACACTTACTGTAGATGACAAAGATATGGTTGAAATTGTAAGTTAATTATATGTAAAATGTTATATATATTTTTGTAAAAACATTATGATTGTTGCAGGCACTAGGAAAATTAAGTCCACAAGTGGCATTTATACGTGGAAAGATGAGAATAACTGGAAATATTATGCTTGCGCAAAAATTAAAAGAACTTATGGAAGTCAATAGAGCTAAGCTATAATTTTTTTTATTTTGTTCGCTTAGCTTTAAGTCATATATACGTTAAAAAACTACATTGTAAATATGGGGATAATATATATGGAGGAAATATATACTTAGGGAAATATATATATATATATATATATATATATATATGTATATATATACACGTATATATATCATTGTTATAAGTTGTTATTGATTTGTTTTAGGGTCGGGTCATAGCTTGAGGAAATATCAATTTTTATATACTTCTATTGTAATATATTTTTAATAAAATTTCAATATATGTATAAATGCTTAAATATGTTAATCACATAATTATAAATTCATAAATTTTATGTAATAATTTTGGACTTATATCAGTCACTAACAATATTAATATACTTTTATATAAGAATAAATATACTATATAAGAATGAATATATTCTTTACAATATCGAAAAAATCAACTTAATTGTTAAATTTTATCAATTGTATTATAGATCATTATACAATTGTCGTCTAGCAATTAATACAAAGTAAAACGTACAATAACCGGTTTAACGAAATACGCGTTGTTTTCTATTGTATAATATATATGTTTACATATTCTGTATATTTTGTTTAGTCAAATACTTTTTTTAATACCTAATTTTAATTTTTATTAAATATAACATTAACACGAGCGCGATATTTTAATCTGTTATTACTATTATTTACTGTTTCTATTATTATTATTTAATATTTATTCTTATATTTGGTCTAAGTTACAGAACTGCTAACAGTATTATTTATTTCACACGACTTCCTAGTTGTTTTGAGCAGTGTAGATAAAATATTTAGTATATATTTACACAGTGTAAGGAAGAAATTTTAGCTTACACAAAGAATATATATTTATCATACTTTTCTTAGAAATATTATTAAAAATAAGATACGCGAGAAAGAAATATATGGAAAATGTGTGAAGAGAATCTTTGGTTTGATATCCGTCTCGACGACTTCAATCGATCAGTTCAAAATGTATCAATTTCAATATTGCACATTTCAAAGAATGCAACAAGGTTTTTTCGATGATGGTTTCTTCAATACAGCTCTGATAGCTTCCATAAAGACTTCTTCAAGTCCTTCTTGCTTTATTGCAGAACACTCGACGTACTTTACAGCCCTGATCCTTCTTTTCATTTTGTTGCATTCACGTGGAGTGATAATATCCATATTTTCTTGATTTCTGAGATCTGCTTTGGTACCTGATAAAAAAAGTAATATTCTATTTTTGTATTAACTTTGATCTCTTACAGATTTCAATAAAAATACATTTTCTTATGTTATCAAGTACAAGAGAAGCATGATAAGAATTTTAAAAATTTTTATAACGTGCATATATAAACGTGTTTGATATTTGGAAACAAGTTGTTACATAATAAGATAGTATGTAAATGCATCCTGCGCGTGTATTATACCTGAAGAATATCTTATTTTTATATCATATATATGTACTCACCCACAAGTACAATTGGTACATTGGGACAGTGCATTTTAATTTCTGGATACCACTTACTCGATACGTTTTCGAAAGAACTACGGGCGCTTATTGAAAAACAGACTAGGAAACAATCGGTCTGCAAAAGAAAAGGTGTGTTAGTGTTACGAATATTACTAAGCGCGCGGCTCATGAATGTGCATTTCTACATAAAAAATAGTATTGAAAGATGAAAAAATATGCGAGATAAAATAGAAAAATTACACAATTCATTACTTACGTTAGACAAATTTGATTTTATTTATAAATAATAATAAGAGATATATATTTTAACGAATTGGCGCTTACGTTTGGATACGATAGTGGTCGAAGTCGTTCGTAATCCTCTTGACCAGCAGTATCCCATAATGTCATCTCTAATTGTTGTCCACCCACGCATATAGTATCAACGTAGTTGTCGAAACTGCAAATGATAAAACGGCAAAATAAATTAAATAGCCGGACGCTAAGATGATGTGTGGAATTAATTTATGTTCAGGAAGATGCATTGCGTCGCTGAACAAATAAACTTTTATTTGGCATATTGCTTATCGATCTATTCTATATATACATTAAGAGACACGGTCGCGCCAAGCGTTTGCTAGTAAACGCCTGAGTGGGGAGACCGACCTTAAGAGACGGTAACTTCCGAGCTTTGATTGTGTGTGACGCTATATATTATGTTAGAATACTTACACGGTAGGCACATATTCCGTCGGGAATTCTTTCTTTGTATACGTGATGAGCATACACGTTTTCCCAACCATACCATCGCCGACGGTTGTAATTTTAACCTTCCTGTTTCGAGACACCATTTTTGTTTTCTCTGCAATATGAAAACGCATAATTTGATCGAGAAGTATATCTCGTAACTATGACGCAATTTTTATCGATATTAACGATCTAATCAATATTAATTTTTATTATATATTATGTCTACTTTTTTATCAAAAAATTGCGCTATAAATTATAACTCCCGACTATACTCTAATAAATACAATTATTTACCAAAAGCCGAATTTTGTAAATGCTTTTAAGAATAGACGTGTGCTCTATAAGATGTGAAATACATAATTTATATTTATTTACTTTCATATATATATATACATAAAAGAAATTAAATTTTTTCTAAGTATATTATTTTTTCTGTCTTGTATGAATGAATATAACGATATGTCGTTATTGTAGAGGATTCGTCTTTCTCGTAAAGAAATAATGTTTCGAAGAGAAATGCGCGTAGACAGCGTGTAATCAATGTGATTGCTGTATCCTTTATGTGACAGGATATAGAGCACAGTCAGTACGCGGTTGTTTATCAGTTGGTCGTCCTGTTTCACGCAGGATTCTGGTAAATTCACACTTTTACCACATTTTACGAAGAAATCTTACGAAAAACGTTAGCGAAATGTTCCGCAAGATTGCAACATTACAACAGGAAATTAAATCTTATCAAATGGATATTAACACTTTTATGCCTTTTAAATGTTTAAAAGATAATTCTTTTTTAATATATTCTAGTCAATATCGACGAATAGTCTTTTTCTTTCTCTTCTTTTTAGGATAAAACATGTACATTTTTTAAATATTGAAGATACGTACGTTAGAAGAGATAAGAAATCAGATAAAACATTTTTTTTGAAGAAAAATCACTTATATTTTAGATCATTTAGATTATATGATTAGATGCGCTTAGAAATATTTTAAAGAAATATGTAGTATACATTTTAGCGGTATTTGTTTCGATAATACTTAATTATTAGCATTTATGTAATATCGATATATAATTTGCACGTAACTAATTCGACCATCAGACTGCTTGGTAGAATACTGAGAATCGCCCGAGGTATGATAAGAGATAAGATAATTAAAGAACCAATTACACAGGCAGTGGCCTAGTAATCGTACACTTGTTCGATGAATTCATACGTTAAAAAAAGAAATATAGTTATTATATCGCAACAGTATTAATAACACAATAATTTAGAGCGTAACTTTCAGGATGATTTATTTATCAAAACCCTGAAACAATTTACATCGTATTCTTTATAATTAGTTTTCACTAATTTTGTTATATTCTTTCTCTTTTATATGAACATATGATCATAAATTAATTACATTAAAAATATATGTATAATGAACATGTGTGTGTGTTCCTTGACACTTTAGCCTTGAGGTCCAAAAAATTAGAAATATTACTTTTTAGCTATTCCAAAACTTATTAAATCATTATATGACTTTCTTAAATTAGAATATAAAAGAGGATAAGAGGATAAGAGGATAAGTAGATAGAATAAGAAATGGAAAATATGTTATTGTAAACAGCGCTTTTCGAAATTTTCTGAAGTTCAAAAGTGAGATTTATCGAACGTTCATAAGACAATCGTGACTTAAAAAAACGCTTGGGTGTATTTACGCATTTAATTATTTCTGCAACACATATTTCTTGCATGACATGACGTCTTTTTAAGATCAATTTGGCTTCTCTCTCGTCAGGGCGTATAATGATACATTACTTACTGTGGAATGTGAGTCATACACCGAGGGAATGTGGATTAATCAGTGACGCCGACAACTTCCTGCATATTTGGAGATAGAACACGAGCCTCATAAATAGTGATCACGATATTGACGGAACTTGAAGGAAGAAAACGAATGACGCGTGCCGCGCATACGCACGTAGCAACAGCCGTTCGAAGACTGTAGAAACGCGCACGACACGGCTTGTTATAGTCGAAGGAAAAATCAGCTGACGTAGAATACAGCGAATGAAAGATACCACTCGAAGAATTAATACGTGTCTATTTATCAAAATGACGTCGAACTCACCTTTTCCTACACAATTCACTGCACTGGAAATTCTAAAACTATCCAACAATATATCGCAACAGAAGTATTATTAAATGTTACACAATGCATATTTACATCATGTACGCATGTACATATGTAATATATGTTGGGCGTTAAGAGAATGTTTCATCGACATAGGTCGGAGTGTCAATCCATCCGATGTAAAGTGCAATTTTTTGCTTCTACAAGCAATTGATTTTCTTCATTACATTTTATGCGAAAACAAGGAAAAAAATATTTGTTATTATACGTCTAGTCGTATTTAAACTTCTACAAAAAATATTCTTTTTTTATTTTCTACTTTATTTTCTACTTGATATTCACATTTTCTAATTATAAATTGATCCCAGTAAATACAAAGTAACAGTAACATAACATCAATGTTATAATTTCGTACTCAACAAGGTAACTGTTATATAACACGCGCGTTATATAACTGTTAGATTGTTGAGTAGGAAATTGTAATATTAATATTATGTTACTATTACTTTGTGTTTACTGGGGTGCGTTTGCTCAATCTTTTTGAATCTGTTCTTTATAAATGTGCGGAATTGCACTGTCTGTACTTGAAATGATATATTTTACATAGCACAAAACTATTGCACCAACACTAAATTTAAGAAATTTTTAATAATATTGCTAAAGATGATAACCATGATAACATGGCTTAAATGTTTTTTCTAAAATTTATAATAAATAAATCTCATTAATTAATAACAAGATTTTTTTGGTTAATTCAAAGTTATTTTATACAAATTATTTATTCAAAGTTATTTTATTCAAAGTTATTTTATTCGAAGTTATATATTAAATTAATATAATGTTTCAATATTTATCAAAATATATCACCTTATCTTTTAATAGCATTTTAGTAGTATTAACTTAGTGTTTTCCGATAGAGAAAATTACTACAATATTGTATTCTCAAGCGTAACATTGTATTCTTTAAAAAGATTTAATTTACTGAGATATAGTAACATTTTAGTACTAATAACATACTTTGGTGTTATGTTGGACATTTGACAATTGGTGAGAGGGAGAAAAAAAATAGAAAGATTACTAGATAGTTCAGAAAGTGTAACTATAAAGAACAGATTTTCTTGAATTCTTAAAACTACTGTCTTTTCTGCGTGCTGCGAGTCTCGACGCCATTGATAAATTTGAAATAGTTGAAGATTCGAAAGTGCTATCGATATCTCAATCTCCAGATAAACGTGATTGTTTTGATTCCGAATCCGATACTAGGTACGCATATTATCATAAAATATCACATTTCTTGCGTAAAATTAGAGAATGACTTTTCTTAAACATAATATAAACAAGTTTAAATGTAAACGTTGTATAAAAGAGGTTGTCATACAAAGCGTACTTTGTCTATGTATGTAAATCTTTATTAATCCTCATATGGGGTTACAAAGTCTAATTATAATTCGTCGCCACACTATCTACACAAACACACACACCTCTGCATCCTAACTCTTATATCTAAACTTACAACTAATTCTTACAACTAACTTATGCCTAACTTACATATCTAACTCCCTACTATCTTTCTTTTTCTCCACCTCTCCCTCATCTCCTCCCAGCATCTCCTTGCAATTACTTCTTCTCCTTCCTCCAATCTCCTCTCCCAGGCCCTCTTCCCTGCTCTCCCTCTCAACTTCTCTCTCCCAACCTCCTCTCTTATCATGTGTCCTGGTGTCCTCCTCTCCACCCCCATCGTCCACCTTACAAACCTCTTTTAAATTCTTTCCAACTCCTCCCTCTCCTTTCATCCTCAAATCTCCACTCCATACCTCATCACTGTCCATATTAACCTATTAAACAGCCATAATCTTCTTCTCTAGTCCCTCCCCTATATTCTCTTCCCTATCCCTCACACCTCCCTCATCACCACCGACAAAACGTACTTTGTCATCGAACGACAATCTTAATGATATCCTTAATAACGAATATTTCAATTATTTTGCTGAATCGACAGAGAAGTATCGTATTATTTGTCGCTAGAGACATTCTACGATATAGGTGAAAAATGACGAAATTCATGAGCAATAAGGCAGCTCTAGAAGATATTGATAACCGGGAACCAGTCATGATCAATTCCGGTATTGAAGAGGTAAAATATGAACAACAAGATACTATTTTAGTTACCGATAGAAAAAGATTAATTCGTTATTTATAGCTAATATTGCTAATAATAACATATAACTACAGAGGATAGCATATTATAACATAAAATATTTCAGTTTATGACTCTAAGAGATTCAGTAGAAAATTCTAATAAAAATGTAAATCACTGGATAAATCAAACGTCGAAATTGGTTGAGAGTAATCGTAATATCGAAATAAATTACGATAAATTAATGATGAAAGTATCTGACATTAATGAACGAATGTCGGAAACTACGAGAATGTGCACTATAAAGAAGCAAGAATTGGAAGATCTCCAACATGCAAGGATGATCTCATCACGTAAACAGTGGTACTTACGGTTTAATGCTCCGTACTTTAGAAACTACGTATTTCTTGACATACGTTCACATTAATTTTTCTTTTGACTTTGATTAATTCTACACTCTTTTAATTAAAAAAGAAAAACAGTATTTAAATTTTTATTTATGTTTTATGAAGAAGAATTATTTTTCATAAATATATTATTTCAGGAATGATTGTTTATCAGAAATAGGGAACTACGCCAATAATTTTTGTCAATGGATAACTGAATATGTATGTTTTTTTAACAAGAATTTTTTAGAAATTTTTATTGTAATATTAAATTCAAATTAAGTTGTGCTGTGTACTATATATAATTTTCGTGTTATTATCTTTTATAAAAATTATAAATCGTATAAATCTTTTTTATTTTTGTAGTGCAGTGACGTTTTGACGAAGGATATCGAAAATTATCATGAAGAATGTAAGAAAGTTAGTGACGACCTTGCAATTTTAAAACAAGAACTTAATGATATAAAACGGGAACATGATTTAGATTATGTTGAAGCTAATATGGATATTAAGGACTTATCGAATCTTGACACTGTAATATCTGATATTAAGTAAGAAAAATATTTATATTTCATAAGTACATGATTTTATCAATCTCTATACTACATTTTACGTGTAAGAATCTAACAACTTGCAAATTATTTCTCATAAGCATAGAGTAACTTATTGGAGAACATATATTTATGAGATCAAGAATCTATATATTTGGAAATATCTTAATTTCAGTAATTAAAAATGTTCATCCACAGTTTTTTGAGATTAATAATTTATAAAAGCTTAAACTTTTAGAACCTAGTTTGCTATAAATTGAAATATTAATTAATAGAGATGTACACAGTTTTATGTAACAACGTTCCATCAATCTAAAGTTTCATAAATACAAAATTTTTTTAATAAGACAACGTGACTTCATAAACAATTTTATTGTAATAGGTACGGTAATAATAATCTAATGCGCACTATTAGATTGACGGAGAATTCCTTGAGTAAGATACAGAACAAAATAGAGCAGTGCAAAGTTGCAATTAATAATTATGAGACGAAAAAGAATACTAATACGTTTTAAGTATATAAATATATATAGTTTATATATGTTTTTATCTTCTTTCTTTTTCACAAAAAAATTTAAATAAATGTTTAAAGGAATATAATTCTGATATAATTGTTTTCAAATATAATATTACATTGCTATGTATAATTTGTTTAATGAAATTTGTGATTATATATATTCATTTGTATACATAAGAAATACATCTTATATAGTGATTTAATTTTAAATATATTATTATTTATGTAATTTAATATACTCTTGTGTATATTTATAAGTACATCTTGAACTTGTAGAAATAACTATTTATAAATGTGTATTTAATAAATTGTTTATATGACTAAAGTATTTAACGTTGAGCTATAGATAATACGTACATATTATTTTCTCGGTTGCATTATTTACAAATAAAAAGATTCAATTTGAGTAGATTGCTGCACTGAATATCGCAATACTTCGGAAAAGAGCAGTGATAGTTGATGTCATTCCAGTTGAACAAAAAATTTAACATTTTTTAACATTTCTTATATTAGTGGAGAGAGATTGAAAAAAGAACGGATTTATCGCGATTTGTCTGTTCCCGCCAATTTTATTATTTGCTGTGCGTTAACCAATGGCAAACGTCGGACAGAATTTAATTTGTGGAACTAAAAGCCGGTTGTGTAGTATATGGCGTTGATTTACGACTTACCTTTATCGTGTTGTGTTGTATATTCCGAAGAACGAGTAAAACAGTAAAGGAGTGCTTTTTAATCATTGGAATGGAGCTCACAGAAGACAATTTAGTGACATTGAGTGAATACCTAAAGCACACCCTCAGCGCTGATGTGAATATTAGACGTCCAGGTTGATATAACCTATAAAGCCGTTATTTTCTGAATGCAATTTTACAAAATATGTAGTCTTATTATATATTTTACATATTTATAGCATTATTATCTGATTTATATTTCAGCCGAAAAATTCTTGGAATCGGTGGAGGTTAATCGAAACTATGCCTTATTGCTACTCCATTTAGTAGATAAGTCCGAAATTAATATAACCATTAGGATCGCTGGTGCTGTTGCGTTTAAGAATTATGTAAAGCGTAATTGGAAAGTGGTAGGTTTTTTTTATTTATCTCAGTATGATTTTACTGTTTTACTTTTACTTTTCATTTTACTATTTGGCTTATAAGAAATTTTTTATTTTTAAGGAATTGTACATATACATCAGTAATATATACTATAAAATTCTTTATCTTTGCATAAATCTATTTGCATTTTAGGAAGAAGATTCAATTGATCGCATACATACTCAAGATAGAGACGCGATTAAGCAACTTATCATTAATTTGATGTTGCATTCTCCAGATTCGATACAAAAACAGTTATCAGATGCTGTATCTATTATTGGAAAATATGACTTTCCTAATAAGTGGCCTGAATTGATCGATCAAATGGTAGAAAAGTTTAATACTGGTGATTTTCATGTAATTAATGGAGTTTTGCACACCGCACATTCCTTATTTAAGAGGTATAGGTATGAATTTAAAAGCGAGAGTCTCTGGAGAGAAATCAAATTTGTATTGAATCAGTTTGCGAAGCCTTTGACAGATTTGTTTTTAGTAAGTGTTAATTATTTTTTATGCATAAAACAGTTTTTAAAAAGCCACACATTCTAAACAAAATATTTTACAGGCTACAATGAATTTAACACAAGTACATGCTAATAATGCAGAAGCATTAACAGTTATATATAATTCTTTAGTTATTTTATGCAAAGTATTTTATTCTCTTAATTTCCAAGTAAGTATTTATATATTCTATGTATATAACTGTGTATTTACAAGGTGCTTTGTTATTGACATAGTTCATTTTAGGATTCAATATTGTATTGAAATTTCCTGAATAACTAAACACCTTATGTATACAATATTGAGAATATTTGTATATTAAGAATTTTATATTATCTGCAGGATTTACCAGAATTTTTTGAAGACAACATGGATTCATGGATGAGAAATTTTCATACTTTATTAAATGTTGACGTTCCTTCCTTGCGGACTACGGTAAATTTATATATAGATGTTATTTTATAATTGTTATTACATTAAAAAAAATATATGTATAACGTGGAAGACAATTTTTAATCTAAAGGGTGAAGAAGAAGCAGGTGTAATAGAGCAGTTAAAGTCGCAAGTATGCGACAATGTTGGCCTGTATGCTCAAAAGTACGATGAGGAATTCCAGCCATATTTACCCGAATTTGTTACAGCAGTTTGGAATTTGCTTACATCCACAGGACAACAACCCAAATACGACTCTGTAAGTAAACTTTTTTTTATTACTAATAAAGTAACGTAAATATACAAATATGATGACAAATAAAGTACTCATTGCATATGTCAGTAATGTATTTGTTATTAAATAATGTATGATAAAATATGCAAATTTATTATTTTTGCAGTTAGTTTCAAATGCGTTGCAATTCTTGGCTACAGTTGCCGATCGGGCACAATATAGGCATTTATTCGAAGATCCAACAACTCTCAGTAGTATCTGTGAAAAAGTTATTATTCCCAACATGGAATTTAGAGGTAATTATATTAATATAAACATAGATAGAGTAAATCTAAATGTAAACCTAATGTTAATATATATTAAAAATCTAATAATTTTATAGAATCGGATAACGAGTTGTTTGAGGATAATCCTGAAGAATATATTAGGCGAGATATCGAAGGCAGTGATATAGATACCAGAAGGCGTGCCGCGTGTGACTTAGTTAAAGTATTATCTAAATATTTCGAAGTAAAAATAATGGAGATTTTCGGAGCATACATACAGGTAAATATAAAGAAATTTGTTTCCATAATTTGTAACACTATGTAAAATTTACTCTTTATCTAATATTGTGCAAACGTTCTGATACATTTTGCGCATTGCGTATATCTTTAGATAATGCTGCAAAATTATGCTGAGAAACCGTCAGAAAATTGGCGCAATAAAGATGCTGCTATTTACCTCATTACAAGTAGTGCCAGTAAAGCACAGACACAGAAGCATGGAGTTACTCAAAGTAGTGAGCTTGTTCCGTTACCGCAATTTGCTGAACAACATATCGAACCAGAGCTAACAAAACCGAATGGTAATAAATACATACATACAATTGAAAATATAATTCAATTTAACTTGATATTTTTTTTATATGAATTATTGGAATAAGTAATAAGTTACAATATAATGACTACATATAATGATAACAATTTCAGTGAATGAATTTCCGGTGCTGAAAGCGGATGGAATAAAATTTATAATGACGTTTAGGTCGATATTGCCACGTGAAGTAGTAATAGGAAGTTTGCCACAGCTAATAAGACATCTAAGTGCCAACAGTATCGTTGTGCATAGTTACGCTGCTTGCGCGATTGAAAAAATACTGGCGATGAAGGGTCCTGATAATTTGTCTCTGTAAGAAATGAAAGCAATTATCTTGATTATTAGTTTATAGATAATTATTAAAATTTTTTGAAATTCTGTAGGGTCAAAGGAGCTGATCTATCACCTCTCGTAGCAGACTTATTGAAAGGACTTTTTGCATGCTTGAACACGTCCGGTTCCGAGGAAAATGAATATGTTATGAAGGCTATTATGAGGAGTTTTGGTATTTTGCAAGAAGTTGTGGTGCCATTTTTGGCTAATTTACTTCCAAAACTTACCGAGAAACTCGCCATCGTATCTAGAAATCCAAGTCGGCCAAATTTCAATCATTATCTTTTTGAAACCCTAAGCTTGTCCATCAAGTAAGCTATTACATTTAATTTAATAAAACAAGAGATACATAATGATTAGGATATTATCAAAAGACAGAATTAAATCTAGTGCTAAATAATGTGTTTTCTTTTAGAATTGTCTGCAAAACGAATCCTGAGGCAGTATCATCTTTTGAACAAGCATTGTTCCCTATTTTTCAAGGAATTTTACAACAGGATATACTGGGTGAGCTATTTCGTATTGCAAATGACCGCAAATAACTATTAATTAATACCTTGAACAATATTAAAAATAGTGATTGTTATTAGTTCACTTTATATGTACCTCAAAAACATATGTATGTATATTTTCTTTCAGAATTTATTCCTTATGTTTTCCAAATTCTTGCACTGCTTTTGGAGTTACGAACTACTCAAGATATATCGGAACCGTATATGGCTCTGTTCCCGTGTCTGTTATCACCAGTGTTATTTGAACGCCAAGCCAATATTCATCCCTTGAATCGTTTATTGCAAGCATTCGTCAGTCATGGTTCGCATCATATTGTAGCTCAAGATAAGACGAGTGGATTATTGGGAGTGTTCCAAAAATTAATAGCGTCGAAAGCGAATGATCATGAAGGATTTTTATTAATGCAGAGCATCATAGAATATTTCGCACCGTAAGAATACTTATAAATTTATTTATTTACTTATCTCTGCTTTATAGGTATCATAATGTATCTGTTTATTTTTTAATTTTCTTGAATATTGCAGGAATGCTTTGGAACCTTTTATGAAGCAGATTTTTGTACTTCTTTTTCAAAGACTTTCGTCTACGAAAACAACAAAGTTTATAAAAGGTTTAATAGTATTTTTTGCTTACTACATTATTAGATACGGATCATCGAGTTTAATCACGATTATCGATCAAATACAACCACAGTGAGTTATATGATATAATATAAATATGTTATATTTAGCATATATAGCGAAAAATTACAGCAAATTTTTTGTTTTGCAGAATGTTCGGAATGGTCGTAGAGCGTGTATTCATAACTGATATGCAGAAAATATCAGGTGTAATAGAGCGCAAAGTAGTGGCTGTGGGAATTTCAAATTTGTTGATCGATTGCCCCGCGATGCTCGAGGCTCCGTACAATTCGTACTATCCGCGTTTGTTAGCTGCGTTGGTGGAATTTTTCGAGCTTCCTCAAGATCAAAGCGTGTCACCAGAAGTTGATGTGTTTCCGGAAATTGATGATGCAGTTGGTTATCAAGTGGGTTATAGTCAACTCATTTGCGCGAGAAATCCTGCGAAGGATCCTTTACAAAGTATGTTGTTATTTTTTTCTTTTACGATATATTGCATTATTTTAAAATATACACAGATATAATTTTATGTTTATTTAATTTGTTTATATAAAGGATTTAATTCCGAAGAGAACGTTCGAGAATGAAAATTGATCCTAACGAAACAATGAAATTTTTTCCTTAAAATTGATTGATTTTTAGTTCCTGAATGTTCCCTTCTCGTATTAAATTGTATTAAATATCTATGTAAATTAATTTATAGGGAATATGTAATATTATGTTTACATAAAACATATATATGTTGATAGATATTGGTGATATACGTCTTCATTTAGCGCAAGGTCTTGGAAGATTATCGCCAGGACATTTGCCGGGGCTGTTAGGTCAGATTCCTGAACCGAATGCAAACCACTTAAGAAACTACCTACAAACGGCTGGTGTTACTGTTGCATAATACGAGCTAGATATCCGCGACAGATTGAAAATCCATTTGATAGCTCGTCAAATGAACAATATTGAACTGAATAAATTATAACTAAGGAGAAGAGCCCTGTTTTTCTACACAATTGTACAATTATTAAAACACATCATTCAACTGACTACTTGTAGTTTAAAATATCATAGAAAATGTTTGTCATTTTTATATCTTAACTTCGTTGATAACCATATATCATTATGGAAAAAACAAAGTACATAATGTAATTAATTGTATTTACTGTTTCGATATATGAGGAAGTTGTCGGGAATAGTTTAAAATTTAAATTATCCTCGATTATCTATATAAGAATGAACGTTTATTAAACACATACTTCGTATATTTCTTTGTTTAGTTTTTTATTTAACCAATATATTATATATTATTTATGTTACATACTTTATATCTAAAATAATATTGTTACGCGCGCCGCCCGATATACTTCTCGACCGCGAGTCAGCTGCCGATCAGTTGTTTGCTACGGCAACGAAGTGTCAACGAGGAGTTGAAGAGAGATTGCGCTTGCCGGCGGACGTGTCTCTGATTTCTCTCGGCTTCTTAAAACGCTCTCTTGTATATAGATAGAAATAGAGTTCTTGTTTGTTCCGCGAAACTCTGTTTTCATTTCCGCGTTCCGCGCGCGTAACATTTTGGTCCCTCAGGAAGAGTTGAGTCTGCTGTATCGAACGGTAACATCCGTCGGTTGAAGAGATATACTGTTTTTCGCAGTCTTGGCTCGATTCGCCGTTTTCGGTGCGCAAGGAGAAGCTTTGCGTTTCTGTTGACTGGTGGTTGCTGCGGTGGTGGTGGTGGTGGTATTGGCAGCTTCTCGAGCGAACTCAGGACATAGACCGTTTCGACCGTTAGACAATTTCAACAGAGCGTTGATGCAATTTCGACAGAACTTTCCTTGTAACAGAACGTTCGTCGTGAGCATCTCATGCACATTTTTGGACTTGACTTTTAACCATTCGCACGAACTCACCGATTTGTAATCATACCAGAAATCGATGTTCTTGATCATCATCTTGTCGGTTAGATTTTTCAGACCGTGAAAACCCATAAGCTTTATGCGCTGCAGAGTCTGTTTGCGTATTGCATCGATATTTTTATCAATTCCATAGCACAGAAATCGCATGATATTGAACTTTTGACAAGTTACACGGCTTGTGCAAAGCTCTCGTTCCACGGAATCGAGAGAACTCAATATTTCGCTGAGAATACGTTTCCGTTTGTCTGGATTCAACATTTCGTACGTCGCGACGATACATACCAGTTCGTGAAATGAACGAGGTTGCGTCGATCTTACAAAAGTGACGTCATCGTGTGTACGAACCGTCGCGGCCGTGGTAGATCTTTTGGCATTGTTTCTCTGAACAGTAGCTAGTTGTGGCAGATCAAGATCGAATCGTTCCATATCTACCAGTAGATTCTTCGCTTTCAACGGATCGTCCAACAACGCCAAGTCTTCGTTTCCACCGTTGTATATCGTAGTCGTGGTTGGTGCGTTAAAGCGTACAGTTCGTTTTTTCGCAAGGGCTAACACTGAACGCAACTCGTCTCGGAAGTAAATTATATCCTCCGGGTTTTTCTCCGATATCGCGCGCCACGATAAGCCGACAAGCTACGATAGTGGTGCAACCTGTACGATGCGACAACGATCTCATGGCACGGTGCGACAACGCGTACGGTGTAATCTCGTCGTACGGTACGATTATCGCCCGCGCCGGCGATAAAATTGAGATTGAACAAATTGTCGTTGGATCGCCACGTGGTTGGATAGTCTATCTATATTCCTTCCTTCATCTTGTTGACCACATCTCGAACGTTTGATCGAAGCCACTTTCATTTCCGCGTTCCGCGCGCGTAACATTTTGGCGCGTAACATTTTGGCCTTAGAAAGAGTTGAGTCTGCTGAATCGGAATGGTAACATCTGTCTGTAGAAAAGGCATACTGTTTCTCGCAATCTTCGCTCGTTTTGCCGTTTTCGGTGCGCGAGGAGAAGCCTTGCGTTTGCATTTCTGTTGACCGGTAGTTGCTGCGGTGCTATCGTCCGCGGTAACATCGGTAGCTTTTGCAGCAACGGTGATTGCTGCGATAGTGGTAATGGTGGTGGTGGTGGTGGTGGCAACTGCCCGAGCGAACTCGGGCGTTTGTTGCAGTCACTTTCGTCCAGAAAATTACGAAGGAAATTGGCTAGAGCCATATCGGTCATATTGATCGACACGTCGCACTGTATATCGTACATTCGAAGCAGCAACTGGTACGGATCGATCAGAATGTGCAGATCTTGGGCGTCTCGACGAATGGCTTCGGATAATTTTCTGATCTTTATTGGATTTTGCAATTGCTCCGCTTGGTGCGCTAAGAACGATGGCATGATTCGACCGTTTTCGTCCGTGCGACCGCTGTCCTCGTCATCGTCATTGTCGTTGTCGTTACCACTGCTTCGGTATTTATCGTCCTGATAGTCATCGTTAACGGTATCCAAGAGTCCAGATAGATACGCCAGTTGCAAACGACCCAATTCGCGCAATGTCGGTTTGTCGGTTCGATTCGCGTTGTAACAACGTGTCGTTGAATATGTAAAAATCATCGTTGTACTCGCACATATCCAGGCTGTAATGTTCGAGAATGAGAAATTCGCCCAAGCGAAAAGATTCGAACGAGACGCCTTGAGCGAAGCATTGAGTAGCGGACTGATACGAGACGCTCGGTGTGGCGTTTTCTGGCCAAATTCCACGGAGGTGTCGTCCCTACTGAAAAATTTCTGTTGAGATAACAATAGAATTCCCAATTCAATTCTCAGTTGAATTCTCAATTGAATTCTCAAATGCGGTTTCCGCAAAATTTCGCATGTAAGATCTCAATTGAGATATTTGTATCGGATGAAAATAATTTATTGAAAATATAATGAACTTTTGCTGGAATGTTTTTGAAAAACATTCACAATTTTGACCCAATTTCATTAAAATTTCATAATTTCATTAATATTTTGATAATATTTCATTAAAAATGTAGAAAAATTCAGTGAAAAATCATTATTAATTAAAATAGATTGAGAAAAGTATAATGAAATATTATTTTGTCTAAATAATAAAAAAAAACTGTCATTTTATATTTTGTGTTTCATTTATTCGTGAGATTCGCGCGGGATTCGATCCCGTGTCACACGGCACCCCCATCTTTAGATGACTATGTGCTGTTCAATGCCTAAACCTCAAACGATCGTACGGGAACTAGTAATGCCAATGTGCTGTAATGATATCGTGGTGGATTGTATTTACAATATACTCTTACAGCATTCAAAAATGTAATGATATATTTGTCGGTAAATGTTTCAAAAGACATAACAACAATCACAATGCGATTAATATTGATACAATGTTGTATAACTAATTAAATTTAAACATACAAAGTGCTCGCAAAAGAGAGAGAAAGAAGGAATATTCTCTCTCTTTTGTAAGCATGTTGTATGTTAAAGTTTGATTAGTTATACTACATTGTATCAATATTAATCGCATTGTGATTGTTGTTACGTCCTTTGAAACATTTATCGGTAAATATGTCATTATATTTTTAAACGCTATAAGAGTATATTGTAAATATAATCCACTATGATATTGTTAGAGCGCATTGCCATCACCAGTTCCCGTACGATCGTTGAGGTTAGGCATTGAACAGCGCATAGTCATTTAAAGATGGGGTGCTGTCTGACACGGGATCGAATCTCACGAATAAATGAAACAACATATAAGATATGAAATGACAACTTTTTTTATTATTTAGACAAAATAATACTTCATTATACTTTTCTCAATCTATTTTAATTAATAATGATTTTTTATTGAATTTTTCTACATTTTTAATGAAATATTATCAAAATATTAATGAAATTATAATGAAATTTTAATGAAATTGGATCGAAATTGTGAATGCTTTTCAAAAGCGAAAGTTCATTATATTTTCAATAAATTATTTCCATCAGATACAAATATTTTAAATGAAATCTTACATGCGAATTTTTGCGGAAACCACATTTGAGAATTCAATTGAGAATTCAACTGAGAATTGAATTGGGAATTCTATTGTTATCTCAACAGAAATTTTTTAGTAGGGGTGATTCACGTCGTGCAACGTCTTGAATCGATGCATTATCCATACGCAAAACTTGAGTCGCGTAATGACATCCGCGTCACAGCGCACCGAGATGTGATCGTTCGCGGTGAATATGATCTTGGCCAGATTCGTCAGGTATTGCAGCTGTTGCTCGTGAAACATGCGACCCTTGAGTTGCGTGCGTGAAACCAGCAGTTTGAACAATTCGGAATTCAAACGTTCCGGTTTGTTGCACACATGAAAGACCATCATGCTCATCAGATCGGTGTTGACTTCATCTATCCTGACGTAAAGTGGTGTTATTGATCGTACCGGTGAGCGTTGATAAGAACAATTGCCGCAACACCTCGGATACGAATTCGCTCTTGCCGCTGTCACTGATTCCCTGCAGTAACAGAGCGCTCTTCAAAAATTGTCCGGGGAATCGTATCGCCATAATGTACTTGATGAAAAATAAATGGAACCTTTCTAGATGAAAAATTTTATTTTTTCCCTCGGGAGAGAACATTTTGTTTTAGATACCGATGCCTCGAATCATGGCATCGAGGCGATGCTTTCTCAATTTCAGGGAAAAGAGGAGAAAGTGATTGCCTATTACAGTCGAGTATTCAGCAAGACCGAACGGAACTATTGTGTTACTTGGCGAGAATTGCTGGCTGTCGTAGATTCTGTAAAATTTTTCCATCATTATTTCTATGGACGAAAGTTCTTCGTGAGGACGGACCATGTCTCTCTCCGATGGTTGATGTTCTTTCGAGATCTTGAGGGACAATTGGCAAGGTGGTTGGAACGCCTGCACGTATGATTTGAACAATATGATTTCGATGTCCATCATCGAAGCGAAAAAGCCTACGGCAATGCAGACGGGTTATCTAGGCGTCCATGTTTGCAAGAATTTTGTCGCTATTGCGCGAAAGTAGAGGAAAATGAAAAATCTTCCAAAGAAAAGGCCCTCGGACGAATTATCCTTGTGGAAGAAAATCTTCAAGAGTGGCGTTCAGCACAACTTCAGGATCCGATTATTTCGCAGATAATTCAAGCCAAGGAGGCCGGAAGACGTCCAGAATGGCAGGAGATTGCTTCTGGAGAGACTTCTTTGAAGATTTACTGTACTCATTGGGAAATATTGATATTGGACAACAGTGTCCTTTATAAGAAGTGGATTTCACCTAATTTATGCAAAAACATTTTGCAGGTCGTAGTTCCTCAACAGAAAATATAGGAAATTCTGAGGGAGGTTCACGATACGCCTGCAGGAGGACATTTCGGGGTAAATAAGACTGTCCAGAAAATTAGGAAGCGTTTTTATTGGGTCACACACAAAATTGTTTAATTAAGGATCATTCTCATTAAAGATTGACAATATTTATGTCAAGTATTTTTTTATTAAAACGTTAACAAAGAATTGTACTAATTTGATAAGATGGACATAAAATGAGATGTCAGTTTATCAGGTAATGATACTTAAGTATATTTTTGCTTTAAAAATATTCGTTACTTGTTAAGGCTCATGGCCCCTCGTATTGTCTATCCCCTTGTGCACAACCTTGCTTTAATTCTTAAGCCGTAAGAAATTGACCAACCACAGTTGATTATTTTTAAAATAATCGACTGTAGTTGGTCAATTTATTACGGCTTAAAGGTTAAAGCAAGGTTGTGGATAAGGAGTATCTCTTTTTAACGACGTCAGAAGCGAGAAAATGCATGCTAAAAATTCTTGCGAAATACATTGAAATAAAAATATATATTCATAAAGTAACACTTGCAATCGATTAAACAAATTTGTAAGATATTCTGTATATACTCCCCTTTTGCTCTAACAATCAATAATTTATTGTAAATTAATCTGAATAGAAATAGGTTAAGAAGATGAATTGTATGTCACGTTAATTTACGACAAATTATTGATTGTTGATTATTGATTTGTAGAGCAAAAGAAGAATGCACGGGAATATCTTAGAAATTTGTTTAATCGATTGCAAGTGTTACTTTATGGATATATATTTTTATTT